AGCCACTCTGTATTCTGAGTGCCTTCTACCCTAGGGGGCTCATCTTCCAGCACTGTATTGGACACCGTTCTGTTGTAGTCCTTAGGGTTTTCCTTGGCTGATTTTCTGTAGTAGTAGATCACCAGGCATTTTTTCCTAGTCTGTCTTAGTCTGGAAGCTCTGCCGAAACCTGTCCACCTTGGTGACGCTGCTGGTGTTTGAAATACCGATGGCATAGCTTCCAGCATCAAGACAACACACGAGCCGAAGCATTATGACCAACTGACAGACAGGTGAATGCCAGTAGCGGCCACCACTTACCCTCAGTCGTGACAATTACAGATATCGCCAAATGTCACCAAGTGTTCCCTGGGGCACCCCTGGATGAGAACCTCTGCTCTAGGTACTGTCAGAGGTCAGGGAGGATGGACGCGAGAGTGAGGGAGAGACAGTGAGGAGATGGGTTTGGTGTCTGTTATAGATTGAACTGTGTCCCCGAAAATATGTGTTGTAAATCCTAACCCCTATACCTGTGGTTATAATCCCATTTGAAAATGAGTGTTCTTTGTTGCGCTAATGGGGCAGTATTAGTGTGTGTCTTAAGTCAATCTTTTTTTTTTAATTGTATTTCAGGTGAAAGTTTACAGCTCAAGTGAATTTCTGATTCAAAAATTTATACACACATTGTTTTGCAACATTGGTTGCAATCCCCACAATGTGACAGCACACTCCCCCTTTCCACCCCGGGTTCCCTGTGTCCATTCGTCCAGTTCCTGTCCCTTCCTGCCTTCTCATCCTGCTTTCGGACAGGAGCTGCTCATTTGGTCTCGTATATTTGATTGAACTAAGAAGCACATTCCTCACGTGTCTTATTTTTTGTTTTATAGTCCTGTCTAATCTCTGTCTGAAAAGTGAACTTCGGGAATGGTTTCAGTTCTGGGTTAACAGACCGTCTGGAGGCCATAGTTTCAGGGGTTCCTGCAGTCTCTGTCAGACCATTAAGTCTGGTCTTTTTACGTGAATTTGAATTCTCTTCTACATTTTTCTCCTGCTCTGTCTGGGACTCCCTGTTGTGTTCCCTGTCAGGGCGGTCATTGGTGGTAGTTGGGCACGATCTAGTTCTTCTAGAAGTCAATCTCTTTTGAGATATAAAAGAGCAGATTAAGCAAGCAAGCAAGGAAGTAGAGATGGGGGAAGATAGATACCACGTCCCATGAAGATCTCCAAGTAGACAAGGAACAGACGCTGAAAAGAGACAAGGACCTTCCTCCCAGAGCTAACTAAGAGAGAGAAACTTCCCTTAGAGCTGGCACCCTGAATTTGGATTTCTAGCCTCATTTCAAGATCTATCCTGAAGTACAACGCTGCCAGTGATAGAATAATATCCATACACCTGTAAGGAAGACCTGTTAATATGAGTATTATTCAGATTTACGCACCAACCACTAATGCCAAAGATGAAGCAATTAAAGATTTTTACCAACTTCTGC